TAAATGGAGTCCATTTTAATATCATATTAACTTTAACAAAAAAAATTCTACATCAAAACTTGAAGACGAGAGGGAGAATGGTAGAGTGCTTTTAGTTCAAGTTTAAACAAAGAAACATTTCAGTATTTAAAACTACAAACAGTCCGTCTTTCTCTTATTAACCTGTGTGTATTGCTGTGTTTTGATTCTTTCTAATGATTGATGTCAAAAACCCTGTTGGAATGACTTTGCTGCAAAGGCTCTGGTGATAGGAAATAGGCTTTCTTAAACCGCCAGAGAGAAACATCATGCAGAAGAACCAAACCACAAAACAAGAGTTGGTGAAGCAGCCCTTGCGCTGTGATTGCACACATTGCTGCCGGTGACCAGACCGTGTACACAGATAACCTCGCCTTCAGCAGGTGTGATTGAATAGCCTGAGGTGGAAGAATATTTCAGAGATTCTCCTGTAAAAGTTTTAAGTCTGTGTTTGTAACTTGGGCTTGTCACCACAGCCTTGGGTAACAGACACTTGCTGCGTCTCAGCCATGCAAATGATAACGGGCTCTGACGAAGGTCAACTTCTCATGGAAGTCTTCATGTGTGCATCTGAAGGTCCGGGATCTTTGCAGCTTTCCTTGAGTATATCTCCCTCTGTAATAAACCATCTCTCCAGATGAGACTGTCTGACTTTGGCCGCCGTGCCTGGAAGACACACACAATGCACACAATGATTGCTATTGACTGAGAGGATGGAGTGACCAGCTGTGTGCGAGGAACAGTGACAACAGTCATGAATACTCACAGGAATCTCATATAGCATCCAAATTCAGCAGACTGGTGAGATCATTACTGTGAGGCCACATTGAGACATCAGAACATGCTGGTGAAATGAAACCACACGTCAATCCAGTGAACATGTATTAGCTTGTTTGTTTGTAGTCTTGTGTAGCTAAACCTCTACAAAACTGCAAAATCTGGACCTCAGTTTAGCGGAGGTCATGTACAGTGACTAACCACAGTTTTTTTTTTTTTTTGGCATGCAGTTTTAGAGTTTATCGGAAGATTGTACCTAAATAAAAGATGCCATGAAAAATTTTAGTAATAATAAATAAAATGAATTATTATATTGTGGATTTAAGTATACTATATTTTGATATTATATTTTTATTTAATATATTTTTTCAGCTTTATTTTTTTATTGAAATATTTGGTCATCAGACAAATAGTCAAAATTGGTGTGTATAGATTTAATTTCAGCCAGTGTACAAGTAATAAGTACAGACTTTTTCAAGGATCCTATACTATTGAAAGAACTGTCATCTCTAAAGAAATTGACCTTTTTGTAATCAATGTGAGACTAAGAATCAACATGAATATGTCTGTGAAAACAGAGACAGATAACAAAACCAAATAGAATTATGTTCATGGATGCCCAGCTAACTTGCTACTTTACTTCATACCTCAAATACAACTCTGATACCTTTCAAAGATTTGACAGCACTAACCTGGAAATGTAGTTTTTCCTCATAATAGTGCCCATAATATCAAGCTGTAAAAACGACATAAGATTTGTCCAGCCCATGGTATTTTGACACACGGCTGATAGCAGATAGATTGTGAGAACAGATGAGGTCTTGTACACAGCAGTGACAGGGACGCTGTTCTCGAAAGGATGTTCATCAGACAGAAATCAGTCTTGAAACACGCACACAAAGCAGTCAATAAGAGGGTGGACACATTTATGAAGGCAGACACTATAAATCCTGTCCTTTCATTGGCAGGCTGTAAATAATATTGCCCATGGTGTAAAATGGCTTTAAAATTGACCATAGTGTGTGTGTACACATTTTGTATGCATGATTTAAAGGCATAAATCTACCATGGTACCCCATAATGCAGAAAGCGATGAACCATGAATGGATATTAGGTAGCTGATACGTGCAACCACTCTCTCAATCAATTTGTTCAAAACCTTGAACCTTCATTCAGGTCTGAAACAAATTACCCTCTTTATGAGTGAGTCATTGAATCGTCATTCAGCAGCGCCTCTACAGTGTCTTTATCAGTTAATTCTGCTGAAACTGTAACTATTTTTGTTGGTGGAGCAAAATTAGTCAAATTAACTGTCTGTATTGTGTCTAAAATGTAAGCTACTCAAAATTGCTGGCTTCCATTTCTATTGCATACTAACACAAACTTGAGGACTCAAAAGAACCCGACATGAGTCGCCCTCATGCTTCGCTTCCTTCATCCTGTTCATGTATAGACACCAAAAACTCCAATCAATGGTATTGATCATTCCTCGGCAGACTCGACCTGTCTGAGGAATCTATCTGTTGGTGTCAGTGGAGAAAAATTTATGAACTTTAAATCCACTTCACTGCACACACACTGATCATTTGAGTGACACTAGATTTTCCTTCTCTGTCATGAGTGGGAATAATATTTCTTAACTAGATTCTTATCTAGAATAACTGACACAAAATCACTGGAAACACTGATTGCTTGACAGACAACTAGATCATTCAGATCTGTCATGTGAAAGCAAAATATTTCCTTTCAAGATGTTTATGCATAGCAAATCATGTAAATAGTAAAACATACAGTATCTGTGATGGTTTGAGGAATAAACTTTTAGAAAAATAACCATGCTGTCACTCTATTTGCTTGTCTTTATAGTTTGACACAGTTGTGCTGTTATCAGTGGCCTTTCCTCTGGTCCGCATCCTGTCTACACAGTGTCTATTAATCAGACTGACAGAAAAACGGTCAGTATCGGTGCCCAGATCTGTTTTAATTCCACTGCACCATGGAAAGTTTGTTTAAATTGACAAATTGTTTGTGTTTATTTTGTCTTTAAATTAATTTTATCTGACAGGTCCCAACCGCTGGGTCAAGGTCTAGAAGTGTAACAAATTACAAAGTTGACCCTTCTGCAGTCTCAATCAATGCTGCCCAATTGTACAATGGAACTTTGGTGTTTTCAGAGACATATTCAATGTTGATTCATAGTCTCTGCATTGATTTACAAAAAGGTCAGTGTTCTTCACAGACGACAATTCTTTGGTGACTTAAAATTATATGGTGACTTTGTAACTGTATCCATTTGGGTCAAAACAACTTGAGCATTTATCATCATTATTCCAAAGACATGTGCATTGATTATTGGCTGTTTAAGATTGATTCCTCAGTTTGCTTTTATTTAAATGTCCTATAATCTATTTGTTTTTGTTTCTCAGTGCATGCAAAACATGCACAAGGCCATGCTAACTCATTAAGTAATAAGATAATTGGAAAGAATCGACCCACTGGATGACCAGAGCATCTTTACTATCCCCAAGTAATTATACGTTAAACATTTAAACACTAAATCCTTAACATTAACCCAAAACAACACCACTGGTGCCTTAAAAACAGTTTATTAGTTCGTCCTTCCCAAATACTTAATGCACCAGAGGGAATTTCCAAATGTTCCCTAGGGTCATCAACACATGCAAGCCTCTCATGTTCGGCCCACTTTCGGCACTGAATTTAGGAAATGACTTATGCAGTGCTTGTAAATCAGTTTTGTTAAACAAGCCAATTAAGCCAAACAATTTGAAAAACTATTTAAATGTTTAAAAAACAACTGGGGTGAAGAGTTTACCTTAAAGAAGAACACAAGCCTGACCTGCATTTGTGACCCTGGACCACAAAACCAGTCTTAAGTCGCTTGGGTATATTTTTAGCAATAGCAAAAGAAATAAAAACATTGTATGGGTCAAAATTATAAATTTTATTTAATGCTAAAAATCATTAGGATATTAAGCAAAGATCATGTTCCATGAAGATATTTAGTAAATTTCCTACCGTAAATATATCAAAACTTAATTTTTGATTAGTAATATGCATTGCTAAGAACTTCACTTGGACAAATTTAAAGGTGATTTACTCAGTATTTAAATTTTTTTTGCACCCTCAGATTCCAGATTTTCAAATAGTTGTATCTCGGCCAAATATTGTCCTAACAAACCATACATCAGTGGAAAGCTTATTTATTCAGCTTTCAGATGATGTATAAATCTCAATTTCAAAAAATTCTCAAAACAAATGACCCTTATGACTGGTTTTGTGGTCACATTTCAGCATTGTACAAACAAACTAAATTCAGATTCATCAAGATCTGAGGCGACTGCTGTCTACATGAATGAACACAAGACAATTACAGAAGATTATTGTCTTCAGGAATGAATGGCCAAAATGTATAGCGTTTGGAGTCCTTCAGAACCAGGATTGTGGATTGCATGAGGGTCTGTCTGTCTGTGGCAGGCTAGCAGATGGAATATGGATGCAGTATTGTATGAGCCTGCAGGTGGAGCTGTGAGGCAGTGTTTTGAGACCTTTGCGTTCAGGAATATTGCAGTGGATCAAGCATACCATGATGCCAACCAGTAGCCTACTTTTTATATACAGCAAGGTGGGAAAGATTGTCAGATTATTGGTAATGAAAATTATGCAAAAATCAGCCAAAAGTCATAGAAACCTGCTGGACTATATTTTAAGTCTACAATGTGATTCTATGAAACATTTGTAGAATTTTTATTGTAACTCCAAGAGTTTCTTTTGTATAATTTTTGTATAATTAACGTCCTCACTTGGATTGATTTATTTACGAATCTATTTATTTTGATTAATCGCTGATGAATACAATAATGAGCGTAAATAAATGAGTGTAAAGCTAATCTCCTTACATAATGTTTGTATTACATGTTTACATCCTAATCTCCAAATCATCTTGTCGATTAGATATTCAAATCCGTAAATCATTCTGTCCACCCATGTTTCCCCCAAATCCGTTCCACGGTGTAATGCGTGCATTATACTAGACACATTAAAAGACATTGGGGTGCAGCATATGCCTCATTCATGCCGCGCGCGCTGATTGCAGCCAATGAGATTTTACAATTAGCCCAATCAGCGGCCAGATTCGGGATGTCACTGCGGGCGAGTCAGGAGGGTTTGTAAAACAAGACAGTCGCTGCGTCTCAGCAGAAAGCCACTGACTCACGCCTCTCCTCTGGTTACTTGGGAGTCAGCTGCGAACCAGCAAACTCCGAAGCAGCCGCTCTGACTGCAGCGAGCATTCGCACGGCGCGTTCGGTCCCTCAACTGCTGCTCGCGGAATTCCAGTTGCCGTTTTAACGCGTTTTAAATTCTGTCAAACAGCACGTCATGATGGAAACTATAGAGCGAGCGGCAGTTTTAACGGTCACCAGCACTTCGGCTTAGTCGTTGACGGGATTCTGCAGCTTGTCTGTTGGTTCTTCCTGAGGAGATTAAACGCGGAGGATCTTTTCGATAAAATTAAGTGTCGGTGATACTCGAGACCCACCAAACCGAGTGTTTTAAAACGGCGTCTGGCTGTATTTGTGGAGCGAGTTGGGATTCCTGTGAAGGTGCCCATCATCCGCAGTGTGAGCGCGACTGCGGCGGTGAGGGGAAATCCGCAGAGAGAACAGGTAAGCGCTTGACACGGGACAACCGAAAAACGGGCTTGGCGTTTTACATATTGAAGTTGTTATTTAACTGAATAACGCATGGGGAAGGTTGTTTGAGCAGGTAAGCGAGGCGTGTTACCTGCTATGTAGTATAAGGGCGTACTGTGGTGAGGGCAATGCAGCATCCGCACCCGTGCGTTACAGAATTGTGTGAGATTTTACTCTCTGGAGCTTTTACGTTTAAAACTGAGAATAGCATATGGAGACTGTTTTAAACTGCAAATTTAAAATACGTAGTTCTTTATGAAAAGCACACAAGCTCATACGACTCTTAAAGGGATAGTTCACCCAAAAATGATAATTCTGTCATCGTTTGCTCAACCTCATGTTGTTCCAAACCGCTTTTACTTTCTGGTTGTCATCGGGAACTTTCATTGTATGGTGACTGAGGCTGTCAGTCACTAATATTGTGCCTAACATCATATCTTGTGTTCTATGGAAGAAAGTCATACATGTTCGGAACAACACGAGGTTGAGTAAATGACACGATTTTCAGTGTGTACTGAGCTATGCGACTTAACGCGTTTAGATTATGTTGTTCAGTTTGTTTCATCATACAAGGCTTAATTATTTATGATAGAAAGTGGAGCTGACGCAGTTCGCATGACATTCATTATTTTACGCACATGTTTCTCCGCAAACGCGCTGATTTGGAAACACTGTATGGCTGGCCAGAGATGAAACGCTACAAACAGCGTGCATGGGACTGTTAAAAGTCTAAAGCAAATAGAGCCCGTTACAGGCACGCGGCTGTGCCGCGAGAGCGTTAACTAGAGAGCGCAACTTGCTCTCTGAGTCGCGTGCGTGAGCGCTTTTTCTCAGCGCGCGCGCTTTACCTGACGGCACAGTGTGGAGAATGTGCGGCTATCATATGTGATCTATCTATCATCAGCATTGTTTATACTGGTCTATTTACATACACAGTTGCAATTATGAGTGGATCAAGAGTTTAATTTACATGTTAAATCAGGGGCAGCTAATGAATCCTGTCTCCAAGGTAGCAGCTGACCATTTGTCTTGTGTCTCAAAGCAATACATCTGCAAACCCCTATGGCTGCCTCAATGCAGCATAGAACAGCTGAGGACACATCTAACGCATGTTTCTGATGTTCAGTTTGTCCTGTGGACAGGTCACCAGTCCTCTGCCCTCACAGTTTGAGCATCATCTTCAGTAACACATCACTACAGTTTGCAAACCTTGTAGTTGAAAGGTTCTAGTTGACTTAAACATAAACTATGTTTTGTTACACTCATCTTTTGTCAGCTGAGAGTGTGAGTCTGTGTGGTTTGTACTGGAATCTAAAGTAATCAGAGGAGTTCACACGCTTGTGGTGAGTGGTATTTCAGTAAGGATTCTATTCATAATGGGACTTCACAGTGTTCACAGCCGCTGACTCTATCTGGAGGTTTCTGCATATGAAATAGGAATTATTGAAGACTGTGTTGATGAAGTATTTAAGCTTTAGTGAACTGAGTGGAATTTTTTCTTAGAGGCTTGTAAGAAACAAGGCTTTTGTACAGTGAGTGTACATTGTGTATGTGCATTTGGCCAATTATGGCTTGCATTTTAATAGACTAAAGTTATAAGTGAATGCCAGTATGTGTGTGCATTTGCATGCACCCGCGAGGCAACATTATGGCCGTTTTTTTTTTTGCATCCGTTTGTTAAAAGTGTAGGTGGTGTTACATCAGGAGTTGTATTATGTGGATGAATGTGTTAAGAACTCAGTGCATGCTTTTGCAGTCAGAGTGCCCCTGAGTTTCAAGGAGAAACAGCAAGTACCATCAGACTGTGATAAAACACGAAACTTAATCATTTCAGTGCGTTCCAGTGGCGTTTCAGCCTTGAATGTGTGACAGTCTGCTTGTCTCTACCCCCAGAGAGCTTTCAGAGACCTTAAACACAGTGCTATCAGCAAGGATGAATATAATGCTGACATTTTTCAAAATCATTTTCTTCTTGGCTGTAGTTAGAGATCGGCTTAGAGATAGATTGGAATACGGAATGCATTGAATGTAAACATGACATTATTAATGATATGAGAGTGAAACTTAATAAAATATTAGAAATATAGCTGTTAGGATGAGAGTCCACTGGATTGGGCTGATACGTAAGAGTGTGTGTTCACTCTTCAGTAGGAACTCGGAGCAGTTGACATGAGGCTGAATGACTGGTTTGGGAACAGGTGAATGACTGTTTCTGTCTGCTTTTCCAAAGAAGAGCCGCCCCCTCTGTTTTTATAGGTTGCTGATTGGCTGGACCAGCTAATAAGGTTTAGGTTTTGCTTTTGCTCTCCAAGACAACAGCATCAGCAATTGAGTTTGTCAATTGCTCTGTTTTGATTACTAATTGATGCAGTTATTGTAAAATAATGGCAATATATTGGCATCGTCTAATTAATAAAGCCATGTAAACTGCATTATTGCACAGCTCTACAGTTGGATATGTATTATATCCAACATTATCCTTACAGTGTATATATACATTACACTCAAGTAAAGCCATATATACTGTATAGCAACACTCAACTTCTTGACTTTTTTTGCAAAATGTAACTACTATTGCTAAGCTCTTTACATAAAGTTTGATATACAAGTATGTTTAACTTTATTTGCATAAATACAGTATACTCGCATATGGTGATATTTATAGCATTTCTCAACGGCTTTATTGCTTGTATCATCACAAAATGTAAAGTATAATATCATCCAACTATAGTCGCATAAATGCACCTATAAGCCATGAATTGGTTAGCTCTTCCATAGAGTTTATATACATGTTGTTCTGTATACTGTGAGAGCATTTATCTTTACCTATAACCCAATGAAATAGCAGTTTGATGAGTTAACTTTAGGAAAATGATCTTGAACTGCATGAGCTTTGACTAAAGATGTGTGCTATTTGAAAAGCTTGGTAAGACACAATAGCCAACAGGAATCTTAAGAGGAAGAAAAATAAATTTTTGTAATCTTGTTGTGCTTAATGAGACTCTGCTTGACTGTTTTCCTCTACCGGCCTGCTGAAAACATGTTTGTGTGTGTGTGTGTGGTGGAACAAATGATCCATGTACTTAATCTTGTGTTATAACTGGGTTACTACAACAGTTTTTATGACTTATCGTTCCACTATTTATGTTAGCTTGGCAACAAACACACATCCTTCATTTTTGTCCTATGCATTTTACATGCAGTGTTTCTTTGGTAAGTAAATTAACCTTGTACCTGGCAAGTGTTTGTGCCCTGCCAGAGCACAAAGTTTATTTGCGCCTTAAATATTTGAGTTCGGAACATAGAGAGACTGTTTCTTATTGCAGATCTGTCTATGAATATGGCAAGGATGAATATAATGCTGACATTTTTCAAAATCATTTTCTTCTTGGCTGTAGTTAGAGATCGGCTTAGAGATAGATTGGAATACGGAATGCATTGAATGTAAACATGACATTATTAATGATATGAGAGTGAAACTTAATAAAATATTAGAAATATAGCTGTTAGGATGAGAGTCCACTGGATTGGGCTGATACGTAAGAGTGTGTGTTCACTCTTCAGTAGGAACTCGGAGCAGTTGACATGAGGCTGAATGACTGGTTTGGGAACAGGTGAATGACTGTTTCTGTCTGCTTTTCCAAAGAAGAGCCGCCCCCTCTGTTCTTATAGGTTGCTGATTGGCTGGACCAGCTAATAAGGTTTAGGTTTTGCTTTTGCTCTCCAAGACAACAGCATCAGCAATTGAGTTTGTCAATTGCTCTGTTTTGATTACTAATTGATGCAGTTATTGTAAAATAATGGCAATATATTGGCATCGTCTAATTAATAAAGCCATGTAAACTGCATTATTGCACAGCTCTACAGTTGGATATGTATTATATCCAACATTATCCTTACAGTGTATATATACATTACACTCAAGTAAAGCCATATATACTGTATAGCAACACTCAACTTCTTGACTTTTTTTGCAAAATGTAACTACTATTGCTAAGCTCTTTACATAAAGTTTGATATACAAGTATGTTTAACTTTATTTGCATAAATACAGTATACTCGCATATGGTGATATTTATAGCATTTCTCAACGGCTTTATTGCTTGTATCATCACAAAATGTAAAGTATAATATCATCCAACTATAGTCGCATAAATGCACCTATAAGCCATGAATTGGTTAGCTCTTCCATAGAGTTTATATACATGTTGTTCTGTATACTGTGAGAGCATTTATCTTTACCTATAACCCAATGAAATAGCAGTTTGATGAGTTAACTTTAGGAAAATGATCTTGAACTGCATGAGCTTTGACTAAAGATGTGTGCTATTTGAAAAGCTTGGTAAGACACAATAGCCAACAGGAATCTTAAGAGGAAGAAAAATAAATTTTTGTAATCTTGTTGTGCTTAATGAGACTCTGCTTGACTGTTTTCCTCTACCGGCCTGCTGAAAACATGTTTGTGTGTGTGTGTGTGGTGGAACAAATGATCCATGTACTTAATCTTGTGTTATAACTGGGTTACTACAACAGTTTTTATGACTTATCGTTCCACTATTTATGTTAGCTTGGCAACAAACACACATCCTTCATTTTTGTCCTATGCATTTTACATGCAGTGTTTCTTTGGTAAGTAAATTAACCTTGTACCTGGCAAGTGTTTGTGCCCTGCCAGAGCACAAAGTTTATTTGCGCCTTAAATATTTGAGTTCGGAACATAGAGAGACTGTTTCTTATTGCAGATCTGTCTATGAATATGCACATATGCTCATGTCATGTGTGGTTCTGTGTGCAAATGGATGGGATTGTATGTAGGCAAATGTGTGAGTGACAGTTCTGTCTGCTTGACATCTTCAGAATAAACTCCTGCTGTGCATTTCCCATGTCACACCGTGTATGCGTGCTGATGTGTACGTGAGCGTGTAATGAGGAGAGAGTGATTTCCACCAGTGAGAAACTCCGCTTCCTGTCAC